ACACCGACTCCAGACCGGCCATCAAAGCCTTTGAACGTGGAGTCATCCCCGACCAGGCGTTGCGTCTCCTGCGCAGAGTGGACCCAAGTGCCCTGTAGCACCACACTGTCATTTGGTTCCCCGCCATCTCACCCAGGTGCCCCATTCAACCTCAACAAGATCGCCCATGATTCAGCGCACGCACTTACTGACCGTGCCGCCACAGGGCAACCCCATTTCGCTGAGTTAGAGAGCAATCAGGATGCACCCAATAAGTACAACGACATAACAATGTGGTTTTGTCTTGAACACCGCATTTTTCTACTCCCACATCCAAAACTTGACAGACCACAGGTGCTAACCCTACGTCTATTACAGACACACACCCAAACCTTGCCAAGCTTCACGTTTATTATCCTGATGCATACCTCAGCGACACATGCCACTCGTGAGGACACACGGCGACACTCGCACACATGCTCTGGGAGTGTGGAACAATACCTCCCGACTCTACCTCAAGCAAGTGGGTGAGGTCCCTCAGGAGCTCACTTCTCGCAGACCAGCAATGGGCCATCCAGCAGGCTTACGAAGAGGCCGCCAGGTACTCCCTGTCGGTCTCTACATAGGATACACCCGCTACGCGCGTCCTGCAGGACTGCAAATAAAGTTTTTCCATTCCATTCCATCATACATTATGTAAGCCAGTGTAGCTTACACTTTCATAATATGTCAAATATCTGCAATAGCTGCTTATGACACCTATAGAAGCTTTATTGAGATATTAAATTCAGTGTACCAAATATGATACATTGGGCATTGCAGGGTTAACGTTACAGGGTTTACAGGGTTGCATTGACATATTTTGGGTAATTTTCATAATTTAATCGTAAAAAGTTGTACTTTTCTAGTCTTACATACTAGAAATGCATTTTTTAAATAGCCTTTCTTATGCCAAACAAAACAACTAAGGAACAAAATCTAATAAGATTTCAAAAAAAAGTGGTTACATACCTTATAGTGTACAGCTATTTTACATTACTGAGAGAAATAGCATATATTATGTTATTAAATACAATGTATTGCGGGGTAGGATGGTGCATCGATAAATTAAATATATCTCCAATTTGACTTTTGATCTACGATATTGGATATCCGAGTTTGGACTGTGTTTTTGCGTATATTAAAACATGAGTGTCTTTCTTCAACAAAATTACAAAATGGCTTTGCAATGAAAACTATCTTTCCAAATTAGCAAATTGAATAGCAATTTGCAAAGGCTGTCTCATATTGGGTATGTTTTTTTTTACCAGTGCAATGTGGCCAGGAAGGCCATTAGAGTTTGTTGCCATGTACAAAAAGAAAAATATCTACATAGGTTTCACAAAATACTATTAAGATGTGCAACATTTTTCTTTTTTTTTTTTTGAAATGCCTTTACATGTATGAGTATGATAACATGTTTAATAAAGGCAAAGACATACTGCGGCACCATTTGCCGGAATCTTCCTGAGATGTATAAAACGACATTATGCAGCGGTACCGACTGTGCAAAGTGTTCGACAACTCCAAGAATTCAGGCTGTTCAGCCGTGGCGTTTTTCGCTTTGCAAGGGTTGTTTGCACTGTATTAGCTGCAAAAAATTTGGAGTATTTGCCAACAAATATTTTTAACGTGTCGTCATCGCCACGTCATGCATTTTCGACGGAACGCATGCGCATGGCGGCATGGATGGCCAACGTTAAGAGGCACTTTGGTAAAAGGTGAGTTTTGAAATTATTCTAGTAATGTGTAAATTGAAGCACCCCCACATTTTGTGCACGTTTACGTTTACTGAGGCGAGCGCGATAGCGTGCACTTCTCTCTTGCTTTTGCGCCGAAAGAGCACGGCCGGCAGGTAACGTTTCAATTTGTGTGGACTGCTCGGCACGATTCACGGCGACACCTCGCCCTTATTTTCAGAACGGCATCGAGTGGTCAAAAGTGAACGATGCTTTGACACTGGTTTTATCAAGCTCACGTTACATTTTATAAGCTGCTCCATGAGATCTTTTGTTGCAATAACATTACTGTTCACAACAACCGCGGTTTGCGCAGCCTGCTACTTTCACCAGATTTATTGCCGGACGATTATACTTAACAATTATATTTCAGTAAACGGAACTTCACCCGTATATATTTTTGTCTCCTTAATACTCGCTTTCACTACCAAGCTTCTCTGTGCGGCGTGTATTTACTAATGTGATATGATGCAAGAACGTTGCGATAACTGCACGCTTAACTTGCTTGACAATTATTTACAATTACCGTATCTTATTTTCAGTGACTTTGCTGGCCCCTGGTATCAACCAATTCGTGTACCAGTAGCTCACCACATCTAGGCTGCTAACGGAAGGAGAGAAGCCCTAATACGCAATGCAAAAGAACTGCAATAGGACAAAATCATTCTTGCGGCCCCTTGCTACAGACAGCTGGAAAAAGCTTATCGGCCTGGTGTGAATCAGAAAAACAAATTACTAAGTGTACATTCCCGGAAATTCCAACGTCGTAATTACAGAAGATTTTAGCCTCAACAAAGCACACAAAATCTTTTTCGCAAAAGTGCGTGCTAGCACACTCATAATGAATGCAGGATCGCTATGCCATTCTCGGTTTTATGAAACACGCGTCTCGCTGCTTCAATATGTTTGGGGATGCAGGGAAACTCACACTAGGGTAAGAAGTAGAGACTGCACCATGAGTTTGTGTAACTACACAAGGGCCGAACAGAATGGTTGCTGCAATCTCACGCTTCGGTAATCATTCATTCCTGCTTAGTGCGAATAAAGGTAATAAACTCCTATGCGTTACAGATTCGTGAAGTACACTGTCGTACAAACCGAACATTTCTAAACTCCAATTTCGAACACAAAATCTTTGCGGACGACGAAAAAAGAAAGAAAAGAGAAGTGGTCGCTCAGTGAGCTACACACTTGAGGATGAACGCCGATTCATTTCACCAATTTCAGTTTTATCTATCAAGTGTATCACTGCCGCGACATTTTGCAAGGGCTAAATCATGTTAGGCTCACTCGAATGCATCCGACACAGCGGTATTGAGTGGTCAACAAACATGTAGGTTAAAAAAAATGGCAGCATATCCACGGAGTGAATGATGGAGAGTGGGGCTAAGCATCCGTCCGTCCATTCGTTCTTGCTTCCGTCCGTCCATGCGTGCATCTGCTGTGGCCGCCCGTGCGTCCATCTGCCCATCCGTGCGTGCGTCTGTTAGTGCATCCACACGTCCATCTGTGCGTCCGTCCCTGCGTTCGTCCATGCATACGCTCTTGCGTCCATTCGTCCGTGCAGACATCCGTGCGTCCATCTATGCATCTGCCTGTGTGTCCGTTGGTCCACCTATTTACACTCCAAGTATTACCATCTCACATCTTTTCATCATATATTCCTCATATAGAAGCACCGTCATCCAGCGGACTTTCCAAGGACTGAACGAGAGGAGGCACACACACACTTTCTTACAGCTTGCGCTTCGTGTCTACTTCCCACCTTTAACCACCTCGAGTTCATGGTATATACTAGTGCACGGTATTCATGGCACTGCGGCTTGACGCTCACTAAACCTTTCTAAAACCAAGGAGGTTACACCCACGGAGTATAACGTAGCAACCCTTTCTTGTCAGATAGTGCTCGATGTACATGCCAATGGCTGTTAATGGGGAATGAGAGACAGGAGAATTCGGCTTTTAGTTAGCACGCACGCTGCAATTTTTTTATTGTTCAACAACGCACAGCAGAAATCTCCCACCGGCACAACCTTTGAGGTCAAAATTTAAGACTGGTTACACACTACAACTACTACTACTGCTACGAGGGACAAACGGGTGCCGCTTTAAGGAGCTTCGCCCCTAAAAATGAGCTGTCTCGGGGTTGAAAGCGAGTGTGCTGCACTCACGTGATGTCGTTTACTATGTCGCAGCGACAGCAGTACTAGCCTCTGCAGCGGCTGCCCTCGATACTAATACTTTTCAGTATGATATCACCGTATGAGTGATATATATTTAAGTGTTCCCACGTATGAATCATTGTTTCAAATATATAAATGTAAATCTTTACTCCCAGATCCCCGACTAAAAAAATCTGTACTAGTATTTGCATGGGTTCTTTGTTATTTGCTTAATTGCATTTATTGTAGCTTCTTCCGTACAAAACCTAGAATTAGCTTGCAGTATGTCTAAAATAATTAAAAACATAAAGATACCTAAACATTCTTGTATTCGGACTGGTTCAAGCTACGAGACAGTCAAATGATTCCCAAAACGAATTTGGGAGAAGGCTCACAAATAAAGTGCCTTATAATTCGTTACATGTAGTTTCTAATTATTATGCAGTATTCTGACACAAAGAGAAACAAATCAAGGGGGACAAAAGCAATAGCACCACCACCATAGCTTAATATGCAGATTATCAGACACGCAATGAAAAAAATTAAGGTCTCTAATCCTTTTTCCTCGCACCTTCCACGAGGCACAAAGTTCAAAACCAAGTGCATGTGGCCGCTCACCAGTTTTTCTCATGAGGGAATTGTTACCTAGAAAAAGTGCACGATAGTGTGGATACTTGCTTCTCAAGGAGGTGGCCTCTTCTTTGCACTTTCTTCTACCTCTCGTTTTTCATCCCATGTATGCATGCCGTTATCGCTTGCCAAACTAAGATAACTTACAAACCCCAAACTCAAACTACTCTTTCTCTGTGCCTTCTAATCAACGAGCTCTCTTCAGGCTGATGTGCCTCCCCCTTACAGAAGGCAGTAAACCACTCACTTTTCACAGCTTTCTGTTTTTATGACGACAGGACATGTGGCCCACGAGGTGCCGTTTATGTGAAAAGGATGCATTGCAAAGGTCACAGGAAAAGGGACCCTCCCTTGTGTGGGTGCGCACGTGACACTTGAGGTTCGTTCTGTGTGAAAAAGACGCACCGCAGTGATCACAGGAAAAAGGTCGCTCCCCTGTGTGGGTGCGCACATGGTTCACAAGGGTCGCTTTCTGAGAGAACGATGCACTGCAGTGATCACAGGAAAAAGGACGCTCTCCTGTGTGTGTACGAATGTGGTCGTTAAGATGACTGCGTTCAAGGAATGCAGCTGGACACAAGTGGCACTGGAAGGGCCGCTCGCCGGTGTGTTTGCGAAGGTGTCTTCGCATGTGTCCACTCTTCTTGGTAACATAGGTGCACTGTCGGCAGGAGTACAGTCCACCTTCTACGGACATGAGTGAATGGTCCTGCTCATGGGAAGCTGCACAAGAGATCATGCAAAAAGAACAGAAAGGGCATTGAAAACCATGTTACCTACATTGTCTGCAAGTGGACTACAACACCAGGTAATAAAAGAATGTTGCTGCACTTGTAAATACAGTACATGATTACCTTTGCCTATTTAAACCATATTTTAGTGTAGAAGTAGCTGTGGAATGACAACACCTTTTACAATATTTCCCACCTATCTGTAAGCGAATGCTCGACCTAATATATTACATGCAAAAACCTGCAAATGCACATGGACCTGATTAAGATGGGATTCCAATACTATGCCTAAACCACCAAATGTCTTAATTGTGTCCATAACATTAGGCATTTATTGCACTTGTTTTGGCACATAGCTGTATAGCAACAAAATCGGTACCCTATTTCAACACATGAAGCATAAGAAACAAGTTATGAGTGAAAGAGGTAAGTATAAAAGAATATGGAAACTATGATAGGAGAAAAATTGTTAGCAAGGAACCGAATGACATAACAATTTTTAACTGATGACATATTTATGTGATTTGCATAAAAAATTGGTTCTCCATGTGTACTAGTACTGTTCGTACACTTTCCATTAAGGTCTCCATCCTGCTCAAGTGAAAGCTTAATTTACCACAAAATACAAAGTGAGCTATTCGCTGTATATTATTTCACACACTTACATGACCACACGCAATTCTCACAATATATCCCACTTTATCATAATTGTTAACAAATCCCACTTCATTTTAACAATAACCATACATCGATTCATGCTTAGAAGGCCACCTTTTAATGCCAAAATGATCAACTGCCAAGGATATATGACGAAAAATTGCACTGAAATCGACACACTAAACGTGCTTTTGGCATCACCTGCGACAAAAGGTAAAGAAATGAATTATCAAAGCGAGAATTGACTTATTTCGAGGAGTTTCTAATGGTCTTCAATGAAAGGGTATAACATAAGGGTGTGATAAAAAATATATACAATGTAATAGATGCAAAGCAACCATAAATATTTGCAAACAAAAAACACTTACTCAAGCATAATCAAAAAGGCAACACAATAACAGAACACTTTGGAAGTATTAAAAGAATATTTAAAAATGTAATGCAATACAATAGAACAACATAATAATAGAGCACAAAATAAAAATGCAATGGGTTATTCAGAAGACACCAGAACACTGAACTTGGTTATTTTTTATCATTGAATTTTAAAACATTGCTTTCTATTGGAAGACTCCAAGGCAGCTGGTTCCATTCAATGATGGTTTTTGGAATGAACGAATCAGCGAAGGGTGAAAGTACGGCAGGAAATGAGTTTGCAATAGTGAGAGGACAATCACCGCATAGAAACATGGCTAAGCGTTACTGAAAGAAGTCATCATGAAGCAATGGATGATGATAGTATGTATGCAAAAGAGATAAGTGAGCAAGTTTACAGGGATGAGAAAGGTTATCAACACCAACACGAGCTTTTAAGGCAGTGACACAGTGATACGAGAGTAGTCAGAGAAAATGAAGTGAGCAGCAGGTATCTGCAAAGATATTATGTTATCGATTATACACACTCAAACCTCGATATACTGAACCCAGATTTAATAAAAAATTGGTTATAACGAAGTAAATAAAAACAGTCTTGCAGTAGGTAGTGTTAGAAATGAACTTTTATAATAAAATCTTTAATATAAAAAACTTAGTTTCATGTAAGATGCAACTATGAAATAACGAGGTTCGAGTGTATGCTGGTTCTGGGTCCTTATGGCAGACACCTACTCAATTTTGGGGCACGTTGAGATAACACACGAAAGTTTTTACGCATGTGCAGGCACTGTAAGGCAGGGTTTAGCAGCTGCAAAAATGTAATCAATGTGGCAGTTCCAGGAAAAGTCAGATTGGAGGTGAAGGTCCAGATACCTTTATAACGTGGCTGACATTGTACGAGTGTAATTAGATGTATATGTGGTAGGGAAGTGGCAAGAATTTCGAGTGAAGGAGACGAGTTTGGCCTTGCAGCGATTTGGCCTCATAGGCCATGATGAACACCGTGAATTGATGGATTCAAGGTCAAATTATAGGTATTGCTAGTCCTCTTGATCACTTCTGATGGCACAATACAGAACGATGTCATCAGCAAACAATCTAATGAAAATGGCGCGACATTTGGAGGCAAAAGAGAATAGAGTGTGGCGAAGCCTTCGAAGAGTGGGTCGTCCTCTATGTAGCTTGTGAAGGACTCACCGGTCTGCTGTGCTCGTTCACGTAACCGGTGTTCGGCTTGGAGCTTACGAACGGCAGGACAGCCGAACACGTCGACGACGGCGGTTTTAAAAGCGGGCCAAGTGGGGAAATCGGATGCGTGGTTGTTTTACCACATGCCGGCCACACCCGCGAGGTAGAAAACCAGGTTGCCAAGTTTACCTGCCTCGCCCCATTGATTGGGGACGCTGACGCGTTCGTACATAGCAAGCCAGTCCTCGACGTCGGTGCCATCCGCGCCGGTGAAAACAGGAGGGTCGCGGATGCGGGGGACACCGGAACATGGCGTCGGCGCAGGAGGAAGCGTTTGCTGTGCGGCGTCTTGGTGCATGGTAGAAGGCACGGTGCGGGATCGAAGCTCCAGGGGCATCAAATGCTAACCGAAGGTGTTAGAAGGGCACAGCACTCTCCACCAAATTGTTGAGACGTTTATTGGCGGACACTTGTCGACGATGCTTGAAAGCGACAGTCAATGCGGGTACCGACTCTCTGCACGAGCTGCTCTTCTTTTTTTGATAAAAAGGGCAACCTACTAGAAGGCGCTGAAGAGGACGACCCACTGTTCGAAGGCTTCGCCACAAGAGAAACATTAAAGCCAACATAAGTGGTTATTACTCAGCGTGTGGCACTGTGAAAGGAGTAAATCAAGTTTGTCAGTATTATTTCAATACTTTGTTGAGACCTATACAGAGACATACACAAAGTTTTTACAGAGGAAAGGCATAATGAAGCAACACCAGACTGCTACTATATTACTATTATTTACATATTGCAGTGAAATATCAAGGTGCCAACAGCAAGTATTAGGAATTGCAGTTACTTATTCACGAAACTGTTACCAATAGCGCATATAGGTAGGTAAAGTTGTGTGTTAGTAAACACCTGGACTTGTGCTTTGTCAGACAGGCACAACTTCTTTACACTGTGCACACATGTGCACACCACACTGTACACACATGTGCACACCACAATGAAATTATTACAGGCTTCCAAATTTCAATTGAATTACAGAGCACAAACTGAATAGTCATTTTCACTTATTTCAATGCAAACGGTCCTTAGTAGCAGTCCACAGACATGGCCACATCACTGTCACATTCTCATTTCGTAATGCATTAAGCTCCAGCAAATGTGCTAAATGGCAAATGATTTCCAAGGTGCAGGTGCAATGCATTGCTGTCAAAATTCAAAGCATGTAACTTCTTTGCTTCTTTACAGAGGGGATGAACACATCCGCAAAAGCACAAAGAACACTGTTAAAGTCACTACGAAGAACACAGTATGCTCAAATATACTTTCACTAATGGCATGAACGGGGCCTGGTCGTTGGAAATATTTTAATTAAGGTCTCTAATCCTTTTTCCTCGCACCTTCCACGAGGCACAAAGTTCAAAACCAAGTGCATGTGGCTGCTCACCAGTTTTTCTCATGAGAAAATTGTTACCTAGAAAAAGTGCACGATAGTGTGGATACTTGCTTCTCAAGGAGGTGGCCTCTTCTTTGCACTTTCTTCTACCTCTCGTTTTTCATCCCATGTATGCATGCCGTTATCACTTGCCAAACTAAGATAACTTACAAACCCCAAACTCAAACTACTCTTTCTCTGTGCCTTCTAATCAACAAGCTCTCTTCAGCCGGATGTGCCTCCCCCCTTACAGAAGGCAATGAACCACTCACTTTTCACAGCTTCCTATTTTTATGACGACGGGACATGTGGCCCACAAGGTGCCGTCTGTGTGAAAAGGATGCATTGCAGAGGTCACAGGAGAAGGGACCCTCCCTTGTGTGGATGCGCACATGGTCCACAAGGTGCGCTTTCTGAGAGAAGGATGCACTGCATTGGTCACAGGAAAAGGGACGCTCTCCTGTGTGTGTACGAATGTGGTTATTAAGATTACTGCCTTGAACGAATGCAGCTGGACACAAGTGGCACTGGAAGGGCCGCTCGCCGGTGTGTTTGCAAAGGTGTCTTCGCATGTGTCCACTCTTCTTGGTAACATAGCTGCACTGTCGACAGGAGTAGAGTCCACCTTCTACGGACATGAGTGAATGGTCCTGCTCATGGGATGCTGCACAAGAGATCATGCAAAAAGAACAGAAAGGGCATTGAAAACCATGTTACCTACATTGTCTGCAAGTGGACTACAACACCAGGTAATAAAAGAATGTTGCTGTACTTGTAAATACAGTACATGATTACCTTCGCCTATTTAAACCATATGTTAGTGTAGAAGTAGCTGTGGAATGACAACACCTTTTACAATATTTCCCACCTATCTGTAAGCGAATGCTCGACCTAATATATTACATGCAAAAACCTGCAAATGCACATGGACCTGATTAAGATGGGATTCCAATACTATGCCTAAACCACCAAATGTCTTAATTGTGTCCATAACATTAGGCATATATTGCACTTGTTTTGGCACATAGCTGTATAGCAACAAAATCGGTACCCTATTTCAACACATGAACCATAAGAAACAAGTTATGAGTGAAAGAGGTAAGTATAAAAGAATATGGAAACTATGATAGGAGAAAAATTGTTAGCAAGGAACCGAATGACATAACAATTTTTAACTGATGACATATTTATGTGATTTGCATAAAAAATTGGTTCTCCATGTGTACGAGTACTGTTCGTACACTTTCCATTAAGGTCTCCATCCTGCTCAAGTGAAAGCTTAATTTACCACAAAATACAAAGTGAGCTATTCGCTGTATATTATTTCACACACTTACATGACCACACGCAATTCTCACAATATATCCCACTTTATCATAATTGTTAACAAATCCCACTTCATTTTAACAATAACCATACATCGATTCATGCTTAGAAGGCCACCTTTTAATGCCAAAATGATCAACTGCCAAGGATATATGACGAAAAATTGCACTGAAATCGACACACTAAACGTGCTTTTGGCATCACCTGCGACAAAAGGTAAAGAAATGAATTATCAAAGCGAGAATTGACTTATTTCGAGGAGTTTCTAATGGTCTTCAATGAAAGGGTATAACATAAGGGTGTGATAAAAAATATATACATTGTAATAGATGCAAAGCAACCATAAATATTTGCAAACAAAAAACACTTACTCAAGCATAATCAAAAAGGCAACACAATAACAGAACACTTTGGAAGTATTAAAAGAATATTTAAAAATGTAATGCAATACAATAGAACAACATAATAATAGAGCACAAAATAAAAATGCAATGGGTTATTCAGAAGACTCCAGAACACTGAACTTGGTTATTTTTTATCATTGAATTTTAAAACATTGCTTTCTATTGGAAGACTCCAAGGCAGCTGGTTCCATTCAATGATGGTTTTTGGAATGAACGAATCAGCGAAGGGTGAAAGTACGGCAGGAAATGAGTTTGCAATAGTGAGAGGACAATCACCGCATAGAAACATGGCTAAGCGTTACTGAAAGAAGTCATCATGAAGCAATGGTATGATAGTATGTATGCAAAAGAGATAAGTGAGCAAGTTTACAGGGATGAGAAAGGTTATCAACACCAACACGAGCTTTTAAGGCAGTGACACAGTGATACGAGAGTAGTCAGAGAAAATGAAGTGAGCAGCAGGTATCTGCAAAGATATTATGTTATCGATTATACACACTCAAACCTCGATATACTGAACCCAGATTTAATAAAAAATTGGTTATAACGAAGTAAATAAAAACAGTCTTGCAGTAGGTAGTGTTAGAAATGAACTTTTATAATAAAATCTTTAATATAAAAACTTAGTTTCATGTAAGATGCAACTATGAAATAACGAGGTTCGAGTGTATGCTGGTTCTGGGTCCTTATGGCAGACACCTACTCAATTTTGGGGCACGTTGAGATAACACACGAAAGTTTTTACGCATGTGCAGGCACTGTAAGGCAGGGTTTAGCAGCTGCAAAAATGTAATCAATGTGGCAGTTCCAGGAAAAGTCAGATTGGAGGTGAAGGTCCAGATACCTTTATAACGTGGCTGACATTGTACGAGTGTAATTAGATGTATATGTGGTAGGGAAGTGGCAAGAATTTCGAGTGAAGGAGACGAGTTTGGCCTTGCAGCGATTTGGCCTCATAGGCCATGATGAACACCGTGAATTGATGGATTCAAGGTCAAATTATAGGTATTGCTAGTCCTCTTGATCACTTCTGATGGCACAATACAGAACGATGTCATCAGCAAACAATCTAATGAAAATGGCGCGACATTTGGTGGCAAAAGAGAATAGAGTTTGGCGAAGCCTTCGAACAGTGGGTCGTCCTCTATGTAGCTTGTGAAGGACTCACCGGTCTGCTGTGCTCGTTCACGTAACCGGTGTTCGGCTTGCAGCTTACGAACGGCAGGACAGCCGAACACGTCGACGACGGCGGTTTTAAAAGCGGGCCAAGTGGGGAAATCGGATGCGTGGTTGTTTTACCACATGCCGGCCACACCCGCGAGGTAGAAAACCAGGTTGCCAAGTTTACCTGCCTCGCCCCATTGATTGGGGACGCTGACGCGTTCGTACATAGCAAGCCAGTCCTCGACGTCGGTGCCATCCGCGCCGGTGAAAACAGGAGGGTCGCGGATGCGGGGGACACCGGAACATGGCGTCGGCGCAGGAGGAAGCGTTTGCTGTGCGGCGTCTTGGTGCATGGTAGAAGGCACGGTGCGGGATCGAAGCTCCAGGGGCATCAAATGCTAACCGAAGGTGTTAGAAGGGCACAGCACTCTCCACCAAATTGTTGAGACGTTTATTGGCGGACACTTGTCGACGATGCTTGAAAGTGACAGTCAATGCGGGTACCGACTCTCTGCACGAGCTGCTCTTCTTTTTTTGATAAAAAGGGCAACCCACTAGAAGGCGCTGAAGAGGACGACCCACTGTTCGAAGGCTTCGCCACAAGAGAAACATTAAAGCCA